CAGACTCCTCATCCCTCACAAAACACACATATACAGATATCCACACACAGAAAGCCATTACACACACACAGCTAATGCTGCATTCTGCTGAATTGCTTGCAGATGTGCGTAACACTAAACAGCTTCCTGCATTTTTCCTGAGGGCAGTAAAGTTAGCATCTGTACCCTCTCTCTTTTTCAAACCTGCACAGAAGGGAGAAACAGAGTAAACAAATAAATAAATAAAAAAAAACAAACCAAAAAAAAAACTGTTTGTTCTAGATAAGAAATCACTCTGTCTCCTCCAGCTCAGTATCCTGATGGACAATTTACCTTCTCCAGCCCCACAGTCATGACCGACACACAAAAAAAATGAAGAATTATGGCCTCAATTTGATTCCGGCCCCGGCTCTGCTTTCCTTGATCAACCTGCTTGTGTTGCTCAAGTGGAAGACAGCAGAACTCTGTCTCCTCTTCCTAATGCTATCAAAAAGACAACAAATCAAGCTCACCCCCACTGAACCCTCAGAGAACCAGGAAAAAAAAACAACAAAAAAACAAAAATATATTAAATGGCGTCTTTTTTCCGTCTGGCAAACCACAATTTGACATTTTAATCTTCATTGTTGGACCAGGTTCTAATTCAGTCTTAATATCAGTGGCAATTTGTCATCTGATTATCCTGCAAGACTTCACCTAATAAAAAAATCACAAGCGCCGAAGGGACGATCCATTTATTCATGTGCCTGACAATTTGTAAATCATCACGCCTTTTGGAAATGTGGCCCTGGTCAGGTCAGACAGAGCGTACTCATGGGTGGAGCAGTGGAAGTGTATGACGGCGCTGTATAAGCTCCCCATTCAGCTAGCTGTTAGCTAACCGCAGGAGCTCCCTGAGCACCAATCATCCTCACATTCACACACATCAGAGAAGGCGGTGGCTGAATTTGTGGCAATATTCTGAATATCAATAAGAAAGGTCATGAAGGCTTCCTTGTAGTGACTGCTAGAATGTGGATCCACTTAATATCTGAATGATGGAGTGACATAAAGGCATTTCAGCATCTGCTTATATTTGGCCTATGAAACAGAGTTCGACATCAGTTCATATTTCAATTTCTCACTCTTGTAACTACATAACTGACATACAGTACAGTGAAAAATCAGATACCACCCTTCATTTATTTAGCATTCAGTCAAGTTATTCATTGTTCAGCACCAGGAAAAATGCAAAAAGCATATTTAGCATAATATTACACAGAGGACTTAACAATTAAATATACTAAATATAATATCCAGTATTAAGTGTGTCCACGTTTTGCCTTTATTATTGCCTGTATTCTTTTCAGGAGACCAGCTTCCAGATTTTCGAAGAAATTTGCAGGGGATATTTTTCCACACCTCCAATGTTCAGTCTCAGAAGTTGGTTATATTTTCTGCTTCTTACAATCCCGGTAATCCCAAACACATTCAGTGATGTTGAGCTCTGGACAGTGGGGGGTCTCTGACTTTTGCACGATACTGTATTTTTTTTTTATAGTAGTTATTAATAGATGTTACTGAACAATAAACCTTACTAATAAATATAATACAAAAATAATAACACAGGTTTAATAATAAACCTTATCATGTGGGCCCATACTCAACTCCTCATGCTTAAAGGTATGAAGTAGTTCAATTTATTTATAGGAGTTATTAATAATATCCAGCAAGTCTTAAGATTAATACCTGAATAATATGCCTACAGTTTCAGGGGTTAATAGGTTCACATCTAGCTTTATATAAGTAACAGTTTAATTGCTAGATTTTTTCATTGCTTCACTGTTAAAACATACTGCATGGAGGATTTATCATATACTTTTCTGAGTTATGGTTTGGGACAAAAGGTTACAATTATAAGAACTGGATAATATCCACCAATTTTCTACTACTGATGAATGAAAACAAAAATAAACCTTCTCCATTACAATGACAGCAGTACAGACAATGAATGATGCTCAGACTTGGTTTGCTCTTTGACCTCAGTGTAGAGCAGACAGCTGAGACCCATAGATACGAACAGAAGCATAATCAATCGTCTGAAAAATCTGAATATGAAATGACAAGACAATGAAGACAATGACAATGGCAGTATTGTGAACCCCTGCCTAATAAGAAATAACTGAAATAGAATATGACAGGTATTATTATGTTCAAGCCTGAAGCTTGACAGATGAGTTGGCGGAAAGATTTTCATCTCATGACAGGGCTTTTTCTAAAACAACTTCCACCATAAAAGCTTTATGGAGGCGAGCTAATACTACTTGTAAACGTAACTGATCTTCTAAAAGTGTATGACTATAATACTTTCATCAATTAAATGGGTAAAATTGCATTTAAATTCAAAATGTATAGATAGAGCCATTTAATGTATATGGATCATTCCACTGAATTGGTTAAAAATCAGAGTTCAAACAATCGTAACACTACCGAAAGTTTGCCAAATGTTTTTGTAGTGACTGTGCTGGTAGTGACAATTTCAGCTCATTTTGAGCACAACTTAAAAATGATAACCAGACTAGCAAAGACTACTTTGAAGAGTTTTATAAATATAAAATCAGAATATTTTTCATTTAGTCATAAAAAAAAAATTACGTAATTGCAGAAAATGTGTTATTTAATGTTACACGCTGATTTTCAGACGTCAAAAATAAAATACAAAAGTACCCTATACAGGATTTTGTATATATAATTAGCTTACTACTGTCTTAATTAATGTATTGGGTTTTAATAAACCATAACACAAGCCTTGTAAATATCTAAGGTCTAAATATTTAACTATACTAAACACATTTTTTTCTTTTGTTTGTTTAACGTGGGACCGCAGTTTGAACTAATTCGTCAGAATGGTCCATACAGAATCTTCTGCAGGTGTATGGCGTGCACAGCCTCATCAGTTAGGTAAGTAAATGTGCACTTATGTTGAAGATGACATGAAAAATTATGGCTTTTCATGTATATATGATCCTATGACTATTACAGTCTCATCATTTCAAATAAATCACACACGTGAAATGTATTTATGTCGAGGTTGGCAGGTAAAATCATGACATTTAATTTATGTTTTCAAAAGGGAAACTTCAACTCTGCAAAGAGAATCCTATCTGGCGCAACCTTACTGTTTCTCAGACAAAAGGAGTAGCCATAGAAATAGACAGTTTAATCAATCAGAGAGGGCAAACGTCTTTCACAGATGTTTAGTCTGGAGTTTGGGGGGGATTGGAGTTACGGCTCGTCAGAAGAATGATATGCTTGATGGTTTTCATGTCCTCAGCAGCTCTGGCTAGTCAAGCACATAATAATCATTCAGAGTGCAATGAAGCCTCGGGATATGGGAGCAATAGCAGGGCCCTAAAACAGAATAGATATATCTTATGGGGGGAAACTAATGAGGTTTAGCTTTATTCCTACCTCACCTTGTGGACAGGTGTCCTTCAGCCAGCAGCTCAGATTTTGTTTTCTTCTTGGCAAGTATTGATCCACATTCATTTTGTCTCTCCCTGTAGTTTCCTTATAAAACTCTATTTACAAGTTTACTCACCTGACCCAGGCAACAGTAACTAACTAAAACAGAGCTTTGTTCACAGTGGTGTGGTCACTTGTACTCAGCGTGGAAGAGTTTAGGCATGGAAAAGCAGTGAAATGAATAAGGCTGTAAGGATTTGTTGGAATGGTTATTACTTTGCCTAATTGCAGGAGGAACTCTATTACCTCGAAGTCTGACTGTTTTCATCAGTTGGATCAAGTCGATTACCACAATAAGGCTGACTCATTCTTGGAACGTACTACTGCCAATTCTTAACTTTTTACACAGGAATTAAAAAATACAAGATATATAAACATCAACTGAATTTACAATATATTTCCAGGTACTAAACAAAAGGTTAAGTTCTTTACACCAGGGGAGTTAATCTCTGGTCCTGGAGGGCTGCACAACAGAGCTGAGCTTCGGGGGTCAAGTCTGTCTCAAAATTGTGGGTATGGGTCGGGTACAGGTTTCAATTTCACGGCTCCAGCGGACCTCCAGCGCACGATCGGAATCTGGCATAATTGGAATTGCCTGATTTTTGCTCCCAACAAGCAATCCGCCAATTTATTATTTTGATTTTGGCAGATCTGTGTTGCATCTTTATGAGGTATATAATGTGAGGCAGGTAAGTACACTCACGCTGCATTTGAATACGGCTGAAACACCAATATAAAAAAAAAAATAGCCTAATTATGCTTGACTCACTGTGCTAATCAGCCAGCTGCTTGCTATTTTCGATGTAGCACTTGATCTGATTCAATCTTGATTTGATTGTTTAAATAGCCAACTGATTTTAAAACGCCACTTTGGCTTATTAAAGAGTAAATATCGCTATTCTGTTGCAGTGCTGGCTAATAAAAAGTACTGATAATAATGTGTTCCACATGTCCATTTAGCACATACAGCAAAACTAACAAAAAAACGAACTGGAGGTCAATTTCTCTGTAAAGAAAGCGGAATCTGCCATAAAAATTAATGATCGGTGCATTTCTACCACACAGTTTGGTGATTTCTTACTCAAAAACGCCTGACTCAGTTTAGCAGTTTATTGACAAACTTATTTAGGTGTGTCATAGCAACATCATACTGCACTGTGGGTCCTCAGTAACCCACCGCTGTATTACACCATGCCCCAAAGTTTATGCATGTCCTGCAATGATAGGAAGTGCAATGAGAGACTTAAGCTGTTCCTGGTCAGACCTTCTGAACCAGCTTCCTCAAGTTGGCCCATTTTGTTCTAAGCAAGCAAAACAAAAGTTCATGTAATTAATATAAATTATGCTATTTCTTGTTCTTGCTCTAAGCGTCGCTTTTAACATGATCTGTGTGCTGTAGGAACCTAAAGCAACTAAAATAGATGAGATGACAGAGGACGCAAAGGCCTCCTTGATGGATAACCCTTCTAGACTTTGCCACGGTGGTCAGTAACAGTGTGGGAAGCTGATTTACTCACATATGTAATAATACTCTCGGCCCGGCCGGAACTCGAAACCCAGGGAAAAGGGTGTGAAGAGCTGGAACTTCTCTGAGAACTTTAGGGGCCCGTTGGGGGAGTGCGGCCTGTTGCACTCCCAGCGCTTGAAGCCCTTGGCTGTGTCGTCGCAGGTGCTGTAGCCGTCGTAGTTCACCATGTAGAGGACGTAGCGCTCTGTCCTTTCCTCAGGAACCGAGTCCTCGTAGTGCGGGCAGTAGACGTCCAGGTAGTCGTTTATGCAGACGTCGATGTGGTAGTCTCCACGGTGGAACCTGAGCAACAGACAAAAAGAAGAATGAACCTTTAGAAATGGCTCCCACTACTTTCTAACCTTCTAATGAGTGGTTTATGGCCATGGCTCACCAAGAGCGAGCCAAGACTTTCTGGCTTCAAATGAGACCAAGCAATAGATTTTGCATGCAAATGTTTTCTTTATCTCTTCGTAAGAGGGTGTGAGGAACCTGAGACACGTAAACGTTCCACGGTTCTGCATTCTCTGGATATCTCAAGCTTATTTATGATGTTCAAGGTTAACATGAGCTTCCAGTAAATAGGAGGTTGTGTCTATAAATCCCTCAAAGCAAATCTATGCCTGTGTACACGCAGACCCAGATGTTGATGGACTATGTGAAGAGAGGCTTGGAAAAATATGTGTCTCTCCAATGCCAAACACTTCTCTGAAATGCACTTTCAACTTCGGAAACATGCAAGAACTCCACAGGGTAAATGAAAAGGGATATACAAGAAATCAAGCCTTGATTCTGGGGAGATGCACTCAGCTGTCCAAAAGCAGTCAGGCATGTTTATGGATGACGCAGAAGAACGTGCATCACCGCAACCCTGTCATGTACACAGCATGTCCTTTTTTAGTTACATTGCCTGATTCAAATCAATCGCAAATGGAGGGGAATGACACAGAATGTTCCATCCGTGCTCTGTTAGTCAGCATTATCAGAGCTTTAAGTGGATTATATGTTGCTAAGCCCATGTGTTTGGCTCTTTCCTCTAGTCGTTGACTCTGTCATAGACCTGTAAACACAGCTGATTTGACATTTCTTTCCTCTTTATAAACTTTGCATGCTCTCCTCAACAACCTGGACCACAAACACATCCGCTGCTGGATGGAAAGAAAGGCTTTGATTGGGAATCGACCTTGTCGGTCAGAAGCTTCTTGGAACATTTTAAACTTCCACTTTTGTATGTGACCCAGGCGTAACTTCTTGCAATGTTAACATTTTGTTTCAAACAAACCATCACCAATATTAGAAGAGAAAGGATTGAAATTTAGCCTCACAGAAAGAAGCTAGTAAAAACATAATTTATGGACATTTAGTTTGTGAGGTTATTTGCATGTCCTTGTGAAGTTGCACAAAGTAGTCAAGTGGTGGGGCCAAAATAAACAGCAAGGTTAAATGGCCAGAGAGCAGTGCTGTGATAAAACTGGGCTGGGTGACAATAATTATCAGCACACTGCTGGATAGCACCGATTTGAACCGGAGCCAGGAGAGAGGCACAGGGATGCACAACAACACAGCCGTCTCCATGGACAAGCACATATCTTAGCCATTACAGTCATGAAGAGAAGTGTCTGTTTGTACACGTATGTGTGTTACGGCTAGTTTATTGCTAACTAATGCATGTTACGATATCAACCACAATATATGTATCACAATACAATATCATGATCACAACTGGATCACGATTGTCAACTTCTGTATCGCCACTGGTCATATTTCTGCAGTGGCAAACATGCAGCAATTTGTGAACCATTAACAGGGGAGGAAAGTGTTCAGAGCAAAAAGTAGGTTTATAATGAACTAGAGGTGCTGCACATTACAGAGTGCACAACAAAAACTGCCCCGTTGCCCCATACTCAGTTATATCTGACATTATGTCAATAATGCACATGATTCATTAACAGTAAAAGAGTATTTTTTTCTCCAAATCAGATTACAAAAATTGTCGTGCGACATCACTACCAAAGATTGCATGAAGTGGTGCCATTTCAAAGCCATTGGTTTTCTAGTTAAATTGTATTTAATCTTCATAATTACATGGCTCAGCCAAAAACTCTTACATTTGCATTCGGGACTTTTGTGCTTGTCTGGATCGAAAAAATGACTGTTTCACAGGTCCACCTTACAGCAATTCAAACTGATCTGAAAGCAACCGGCAGACGGCACAGGTCTGCACTTTCTCTCCTATAAGATGCTATTATAGAAGTAGTCTTGTAGTGCAGAAGTGATTTGCACGTCTGGGGAAAACTTGTCAAACATTTAGTGCTGGATTGCGGTGAAATGCACAAGGGTTTGCTCGTTCTAGGACCTGCACCCAAATTCCTCTAGCCCATACATTTATAACATTTTCTAACAGAAAAGCTTTTCCCTTGAAAGAGGTTATGTTTATTTTTACCATATTCACATCTACGTCTTTTTTTTTGGAGTTTTTTTGGGGACTTTTAATCCTTGCAAACTTACTTTACATCCACAGACATACACTTGTGCTTAAAATGTCTCATGGTTGTTCCTGGCTGTACTCATTATGAAATCATGTCTGGCCCTGTGAGACTATTAGGGGTGTAACAATTCCCCAAATCCACGGTTCGGTTCGGACCTCGATTTTTGAGCCACGGTTTGGTTCATACCTCATTTTTTGCTATTGTTTTTTTGGAAGGGGGGGGGGAGAAAAAATTATGGGTTTTATTAAAACACCAACCATTTGGAACACTGAGGAACATGGTACACAGCTTGCCTTAACTTTAAATCAAATAAAAATGTAGTGCTTTACATAGGTTGTAGTGTTAATTGTGAAATGCAAACAAGTTCTGCTACATTAGCAACGTAATGAGAGCTCAACAGGCAGCGCCAGCAGAGGTGGCAGTGGGTTGGGGTTGAGGGGGTGTAACCACGGCATGAGACCGTGGATGTTTGTAGTGCAGTTTCGGTCTCTGTTTCAGAATCGTTACACCTCTAGAGACTATAGTAGTAAAATTTATTACCCTTTCATAACCAGTGCCATCTGCAGGTGTCGAAGAGATACTTCATTCTATAAATAAATAAAGATGGCTTCGAAGTGAATCACATAAATCACGAATAAATTAACTGCAGCATTGGCACATCTATAATGTGTGTTTTGCACAACATACACTGATCACATTTAGATTAATGCATGTAATCGCTTAATTTTTGTAACCAAGCTGGTAATCCTATCCTCTTGGACGTAAAACTAATCAGACGTGCTTGAGGTGACTTCACAAAGGTCATAGTGAGTTGCCCAAGCGACTTCATCGAGTGATTCTGCATGGATACAATATAAGTCCCGACAAAGTACTGTTAATGGCATCACAGGTTTGCCACCAGTGACTTTGAGATCTGTTTCTTACAGTCAAGAACATCTTACATAATCAAAATGGACAGACGCACTATGTAATGGCTAACCTCCATCTCAACTCTGAGTGCGTTCCCATGCACTGGTCTCCACTGACCACTAATAGGAGTCTCTGTGTGGCAACACATTGCTAATGGACACTTTCTTTATTTGACAAGTAGATTAAATGGACTTTGCTATCAGACTTGTACCACATATGTCTACAGCGTATGCAATTACTAGTTTAACCTGTCATTTCTAAGTGCTGTATGGCTCAATTGCAAAGACTCAAGCGTAATTGCCCCAGCAGAGACACTAGAGTTCTAACAGGCCAAAATGTCTCAGGAAAGTAGCACAAGAGGTTTTAATTTTGCTGTTTGTAGCCAGGAAAATAAGAGTCAGTCGTTAGACATGCGCTCTAGAATCAAATAAAGGAGCTTGTGGTCATTTGGGGTTTTTGTATTCATTTGTGTGGCAGGCTTTTTGTCTCTTGTTTTGACCTTTATGAGAATGGCTGCACATCTGACTGCTTAAATAAATAAAAGTAAATAAGCAAACAAGCATGTACTCTTTTTTTATTCATTTGTGGCTTGTAGACAAAAGTCAGATAATTGAAAATGAATATAAAATTACGCATTCCAAAACAGATTTCTCATTCTCTCTTTGAAGCTGAAGGCCTTTGGGTATCACTCATGTTAGGAATGCATTGGAATGGTCTGTAGCTGTTTTAAAGTTTGTTATTTGTTATTGATTTCAGGCTGCCTGTTCACAAACTGCACACTGACATACCGAGTTCCTGGAACCTCACGCCACTTCTGGCCTATAATGAAATTCATTGGTTTAACACCCATTCCAACTTTACTTTCATCTCAAAATACAATATAAAATGTGATACAACTTCTCGTATTAGGCTCAATCAGACTAGCATGTTTGGAAACTTTAGGAAAGACTACAAATTCAGTTGAAGCTACTGGAGTAGATGGTTTAGTATCCAACTACAACTGTCTTCTGCACATGTTTGGGCTCCCTGGTCAAATTAAATGTTCTATGTATTTTGTATTTGCAAAGAAGTTAACACATAATCTGCAAGGGACAAACTTATCCTGCAAAGTGTAGTGCACAATGCTGAATGTAACATAACAGAAAAGATAGAACATAAAATGAAAACATATAGTTTGACCAGGAGTAGATATGTGTAGTTAGTTCTGTTACTACATGCAGGTTTGTTTATGGCTTTTGACCTCATTGACCACTGCCTGCCAAATGTTCATACCAAGAAAACAATATAACAAAACAACAAAAAAGGCTTCCAGTGGCTCCAGGAAAGGTCCTTGATGCACCGGTAATAAAAAGGGGGTAATTAAAAACTGGGAAAGGATGGCAGGCTAATTGTCAAATTATGCTAATTACATGTCTTTGTTATGCTACAGCTGTTTGGGAGAGAGCTTGAGGTCAAAACACGGCCTACTCTGTAATCAGAAAGGTGGCTTGCCCAAGTTTAGAACATTTATTACAAGCTGATTATAACCCCTGAGGAGCTCAAGATGCAGAGACCCCGTTATTTTCATCTCTCTCTCTCTCTTTCTCTCTCTCTCACTCTCACTCTCTAGGCATTGCTGTTCTGTAGGGTTGCTGAGAGGGGTGGCCAACCACACTGGTCCTTGATTGACCCATTTCCATTACAATTACACAGCCCAGTGAGATCGCTGCTCTTTCTGAATGAAGTCCCATCAGCCACCAAAATGACTACTCGGCCCTGGCCAGCCCGTAGGAGCGAGAGCGAAGAGAGGGAGATGGAGGGAAGCGAGAGGGGAGGACAGAGAGGTTCTTTATGATAAAAGACAGCGACGTGATTGCCTATATGTCGTTACTTCTGCTACACTGGACTCCCTTCTTCTGCTAAAGT